AAAATGAACCACAGACTGCATTTCTTATTGTGCATAATTAGAAATCCACCCATATCCTCCTTACAGATTTCAACATTCATGGTTTAGAAACGCCAACCACCAAGGGTGAGAGTTTAACGTCTATTTGCAAGAATACTCTCTAGCACACCCCTGTTCAGTTACGTCACCATTCCCGCCAGTTTCACGACAGCGAATAAGCCACCAATGTTAGATTTAGTGATCACCAGCGAGGCAATCATGGTTGAAGGGTTACATGTATGCAGATCATTGTGTGGAAGCGGCCACGTGACTTCGCTGTTCGATTACATTTGGTACGCCGAGTACTCCGATGCCGGGCCCAAAAGGATGTAATCTATTGCGCATTAGCAGGTGTTAAGAGAATAGCTATTTGACATGCATTTTTGGTGAACGAGCTTAATAGCCATTTTTCATTCTTTCTATTTTCTACTTCTTGACTGTTGTTTAAACGCTCCACTGTGTTAGACCGATTGGAACACACACGTCATTGTTAATGAACGCTCATCTCCGTATTATCTTCAGCAGTTCTATTTGCAAGAACACATTCCACTGGTTTTTCTATGCATCACTTTTCTAGTGGATTATGTTAAAGGAATATTCAGTTGTCACACAGTTATTGTACTAGATTTTAAGTAGGGTCTGCACTACTTAGTCTCGTTAGTTACGCTACATTTCGTTATTCTGATTGGCCATTGCCCGTCACTGTAAATGGATGTTCGCTTTAAGCTGGGGGTCGCATGATGCTATTTTTAAAAACATGCGATTCGCCCTTGATTACACGGTTGTTTATTAGCTGTTGCATTTGATGCCTTTCTTTTGTTGGTTGGCACCAGTGTAATTTAGTAGCTTCTCTTCAGTTTGTTTTCAAAGCTATATAAGCACATGTGATTTCATGTATACAACTCTTTTTCCGGTTCGACTTAGAACTTCTTCTTGCAGTTGTGAGGTGGAGGCGTCAGTGGCGACACAACATCAGTTTTTGTCCCCATTCGTTGAGAAAGTTAGTTAAACAGTCATGACTGAATGCCCCCAGAAATGGACTGGGAAACATTCTTCAGATCATTCACGTCAGACGTCACATTAGCATCAGAGCCAAACGCCATCCATCGTCGCAGGAAACCAAAATCCCTTCTGAGAAGCCGGACACGAAAATTTATAACCTTGAGGGATCGTACATGGTGCGGTCAGAAATGCAATCCTGGAGCCGAAAATTAAATTGCCTACGTATCTTAGCTCAACTACTCTGTGTAGTTGCTTCGTGAAGACAAGGTAACACACCAACAGGAGCTAGCGAAACGACTCTTTTCGAACTACAAGCTTCTTTATATACACTTGAATAGACTTTGTTAGGGGCAGCGCGGAATTCCACCACTCAGTACAACTTGTGGGTATACACACACAGCGAAGGAGGCGGCGAACGCCTTAGGGGCTCAGTATTTACCTACTTTTCAAGGGGTACAGGCCAAAAACGCTATCCCTGCTTCTGTCACTGCACAATCAATTTCATCAAACATCACATTCACAGCACAGTTGGTGCTGAGCAAGCTAATATACTTGCGTACACATAACGCTCCTGGAGTGGATTAATATTCACCCTCAAGCACTACGGGTATCAGCCACGCGCCTAGACTAACCACTTGCCAAAATCTTTTAGCGCTGTCTAGACGAAAGCGCAGTTCCGTCAGCATTGAAACGGGGTATTACGACCCACATTCCCAAAGGAGGAAGTCGATATTATCCTGCCAATAACCGTTCAATAAGTCTTCTCCCTGTGCTCTCCCAAGTCATGGAAGCGATCCTCATGGACATAATGATGAGTTATCTGAAAAGCTACGGGGCACCGTTGAGCTAGAACAGCGCGGGTTTCCTTAACATCGCTCATGTACCAGGAATTTACTGCTTGCACGTGACAACTAGACCGAAACGGTCAAGGATGAGGAGAGAACCGATATTATCTACATGGACTTTTCGAAAACCTTCAATCGCGGACGACGTTAAGGTTTGGCAGGCGAACTGGGGAATGGGTGACCATTAGATCCTTCAGCGCCTTGTCACTGAGACATGACATTGGTCGGGGAGGAACGCACTGTCATTCAATGTGGACAAGTATTGCGTTCTCCACATGTCTACATCTACCAACTTAGGGCGCACGACCTGCAGACAAACTCTCAGGAATGTGACCTCGATGTGGTAGTACAGGACGACCTCGGTTATTCTAGACGGTCAAAATCCTCTTCAACAAGAGATAATCAGCATGCCTGTCACTTGCGTATAGAATTCGGGACTTTGGATTTATCCATCTTCTCTCTGCTGCCCAATGCCTATGTGCGTCCGCACGTTCAATGCGCAATCCGGGCTTGGCATCTTTGGCTAAAACGTGACGCTGCAGCGTTCGAAACTCCCCCACGGTCGATCAACAAAAGTTGTCAACGGATTGCGCAACCTTCCGTACCAGCAACGACTGAAGACACTTGGAGTGTTCAGTGGATGCTACTGATGGCTACGTGAAGATCTCATATTCATTTACCGGACGATGAGCAACCCAAGTCACGTATGCCACCAACTTTTTGAACAGCTCGGACACCAACCTAAGAGGCAAGAGCCTAAAACTGAGTCAACAATACAATCGTCTTGGTTGTCGATGCACTTGTTTACCCATCCGGGACCGCCAACCCTGTAACGCCCTTCCAAACTCAGTTGTTTGTGCTCTAGCCATTTTCAACAATACGGTTGTATATCGCAATGATTTAGCTCCACCTTGTTACACGAATGGATATGCTGAGTTATATTCAGGCCGGTTCTCTCCTTTGGAATTATATCTCCTAGTGACGCTGTAATTCTGCGCAGACAACTAAGCAGTCCAATTGTTATTTGCTATTAATATTACCCATAACGAATTGTTAATCCGTTTTGTATGGTGCCATCTCACCTCCACAACCCTGTTATTGTTATGCCATTAACCCATTTTCTCACTGAAGGGCAGTTTAACTGGTCTACTCATGTAGCACTCGAATTTGCGACTCATTCAGTACCCATCTACGGGACATGTTAAGCCTGTTTTTTTTACCTGTCATAAACTATTGTTCCACTGTACCACATTATTGGTCGAGTTTAGTACAGGGAATCCGAGGCAGCGTACTTACCATGGGCTGATACCCTCATTTAAATAACCCATCATCTCTTCGATATTGCTCCCTCGTTGTCACTTTGATGACTGATCAGGCCAGCTCAGCTGACGCACACACCACTGCATGTGCCAAAGCACCAAGTGCTTGAAGTCTATTGGATAGACTCCAACGGCGCATGTCGCTTGTTCAATCGAGGTTTTTCTTCCTCGTACTTCAACAGGTTCTGATGCACCTGAGAAACGGCGCTCTTGATGTGATCCCACCATTGCCGTGAACATCAAGGTACTCGAACAACGATAAGGCACAAAACATATGTCGTGACAATTCACTTTAATATTCAACGATAGAGTTGTAGTATTTACGAACAAAGAATTTACATCACGCTTACAACAGCATATGCGGTCATCCGACTACTTCTCTACAACCATGTGTCATTCTGATTATGTATATTGTACCTAGACATAGCTGATGTCTAACACCCCACCACTGTTTTTTACTGAAATATTATAAAACCAAATGTACTGTGCGGCTGTTTCATCCTGGCCCGTGTGGGGTTATAACCTGCAACCCGACTGTTACCAGTCAGTGGTGAAGATCACTGGACTACGGTGGGGGACGGAAACGACCGACTTGGTTAAGTTACCAGGCATGATATAGTGCCACTCACTATCTTATGACTTACACGTTATCACTATACAGAGGGAAGGGTATTCTGCTTAACAAACGACAAAGTGCCAAACTTGGTACGGTGACTACACTCTCCTCTGTATAGTGTTGGCTTGTAAATCAGTGAAAAGTGAGCTGTGCTATATCACATCTAGTAACTTGATCCCGTCGGCCGTTACCAACCCCGTAGCTAAGTGGCATTAACGATAGACTGGCAACAATCGAGTTGCGTGTTCTAACTCCACAATCGCCAGATGTATGCGCACTGCTGACGACTTCCTAAAGAATGAAACGAAGCACGGTGCTTTGCCGAGCGTGTACTGGATTCGTCGACTGTCTAGCTGCGATGAATTTCTTCTTATACCATTCCAATCCCCTTACTGCTCGCTTGTAAAACCAACTGCATCAATGCAACTTGTTTCAATCCTAACAAACTTAATCATCACTTGTTTCAAGTACTTAGAGTAACCTAATGGTTAACTCATGCGATTCCTGACACAATTGTGGCACTCAATTTCGCTTGATATATCTTACACTGTCCGTGTAATCGTAAGAAGGTTTAGGTGTTCTGACATGAAAATTGTGGGCAAAGTGTGGCATTTAGGATCAATAATCCTCTGAGCGAAGAAGCCTGTTTTTGATGATTTCAATCAGACTAGTGGGCCACAGCAGACAAATGAGGGGATGTCGTCACTGCACCTACTAAACGAGTGCAGATTTTACGCACAGGGATGTAGGTTAGTAGATTTGTCACAAGCACCATAAGAACCTCAGCTATTACCTGCTCAAGTGAAATGCTCAGAAGATACACCAGATCTGCTTACGACCCACCCAGTTGGACAAGGCAGTACCACAAGTTTAACGATTACTCTCCTATGAAATAAGTGTACCTAGAAAGCTGATCTTTTGGTGCTCACAAGCTTGTCTTTTTTACGTAATAAGCGGTAAAGTTTCAGGGGTTGTGTAACTATGCAATTTGCAGTTTGCATACATCAGACTGCGGAATCATTGACAAAGCGTGATTTGTCCCTCGTATGTTAACTCAGGCAGACACCTTTCTATACATTCTTGCACAGACCAAGTAAGTGATAACGGATAACTACTTCCTGTGTAAGTTTCATATAGCATCACATCCGAATGAATTCACTGCTAGTCTCTAGGTTTCATAATTATACGTCACCTTTACAGACTATACTGCAATACCAAGGAGAAAACCAAGTGAAAGTCGACAAAATGTGTGCCGTGACCTGTATGGAAAAGAACCAAGTACACAATGGCCGCGGATCGATCAGCCAGTGCTGTAGCACGGATTACTGCAATGCGGCCGCACATGTCGTACTCAGCGAAAGTCTCATGGCTGCGGGTTTAATGGTTGCGTTCTCAATGTTGTTTAAGATGCTATTCTGAAAGGTGTTCGGCTCCAGTCTGTGGGTGCATTTTGACCTCCGCCTTCCCCCGCTATGTGTCATCTGTCTGAAACAGCTTCCCTCATCTGGAAATGCAAACATGAGGCCTGGTTACCATTAATTTTGAAAGGATCCAATCACTTACTTTGGCCTTTTGAACTCTAGTAAATTTCGGTCTGTTTCTCTGTTACAGCTTATACCTTGTCATATGAAGGTAACACATGCATACAAACTATCCTCTTACTACCAATTAGGTTGGCGGACGAAACAATATATCACCAGAAATGTCGTTCCCTCCATCCTTTATTTAAGTGCTTGCGCTATACCGTGTGCTTTCCTTGAAGTTTCCCATACGTGCTCACTCGTAAAGTTGCCATAATATCCATGTTTATCTTCCTTTTGCAATTGTACACCCTTTATCCACTTCCCTTTGTCATACTTCTAGTAGAGAATTTTCACCTCGTGAACTTATTTGCACCTATTTATTGCTGAGATTTCCAAATATACACAAGCTCATCGTTTTAAGCAAATGGGTAGTAGAAGATGCTTTCGTTTCGTAGCAGATTCACCTTTCTTTTAGACGGTGAAGAGTTTAAAACCTTTCTTTTTCTTACGATGTTAAAATAGTCCAAACTACCGCATTAAGCCGTACTTACGTTGAATGCTCGCTATGTATGATGGATCAAACAAGCAGAAATTTTTTGAACACTTGAAGGTATCATTCACGGATATCTTGGCCATGTGAGATGATGCGTATTCGTACCAAATCCAAGCGCTTGCTGTCGAAAATACGTTTTTTCTTACTACAAACTAAGCCAATCAGCAAACTTGGCATCAGAGACTGCCATTTTATTTGACCTACAGCCTGATACACGCGTACCGCTAACATCCTAAAAATTTTTGCCCATGATCATACCTATATTAGGCAGAGTTTTGAATTTCTTGAGTTATGTAACATTCCGCTACTTCCGTTGTTCTTATTGCTCTCTTATTTCAGCACTGTAATGGCCAATCCAAGGTTCATTATTTGTCGCTTAATTAGGTCTCAATCCTTCTGAATGGATTCTCAATTTTATTCTGAACAGCAGGTACGGTTTTCCTTCATCATCACGCAACTAGCTTTAGCATATTCAAATGCTAATACATGGTACTTCCAATCATTGATAAGCGATTCCTAATGTTTTGAGCGATCCATGTGTAACCGCCTGTCGATCTTCCTTTGTCATCATCTCCACAGTAGCAGCGTATGCTCGATAGGCTGCCTTTGCAGGTCATGCTGACAAGCGTTTAATTGTTACATACTGGCATACTTCCATCAAGTGTTTATGGGGCACCTGCGGTTAAGTAAGCTCTACGAATAAAAACTTTATTGCCGCCTCTTCTGTGGGTACAACTGCTTACCCCTGAGACTAGTAGTTGTTGTCATGATATGTCGCAGATAAGCTAAAATCCCATCGAATACACGTCGTAGATATCTTATTATGATAGCAAATGTATAGGAACAATTATCCTTAACAAAGAAGCGGCAAGCGCATGTCTTATTCACCGGGAATGGTACCCCAAGCTTTCCTCAATTCCGGAGTGGTATTGGATCCCTTTTCCGTCGTGGCGGCCAATTGTCTTCTAAAACCTAATACTATCTGGGATGAGTAAATATAATTAATAAATAATATGTACATTCTAGTTGTTACACGAGGTACCTCAAAATAGGCATGATCAGTTTTGTACAATCGGATATGCGAAAATTGTTGTTTGACCAAATATTAATCTTGGCAAATGTAAGTAATGAGGTGCTGAAGATCCAGGATATGAGATATAGTTTTGGCAACCGTTTACGGGTTGAAGTAGCAAACTGTTTTGTGAATGCGAAGGAGTTGATGGACGCGAATGAAAATTTCGATATTTATTCCAAGTAAATATAGAATCCATGGCTCAAATTGTGCTTCGGTCAGGTGGATTGGTATGACCTCGAACCAATTGCTTGCGGCGCTATCCGCAGTCACATGTCGTCAAATTTTTCCTACATGTTGTAAAATCGGACATCTGATTTCTTTGGGCCGCGTGGAATCCCAGTTCATATCCAGTTTGGGGAACCGTGAGCCTCACGAGGGTGCAGCTCGGAATCGCTAATGAAGGACCAGCCGCCGTCATTGCAAGATTCCACAGGTGCCGGCCAACATGTCTGAAACACTCAAAAAGGTGGGCAAAGGACAAAAGGCATCGGAACATACAGACAGATGGAAATGCGATGGAAGCGTACTATAAAAAGTGAAGAACATGCATCAAAATGCCAACCGTTGAACCGTTATGTTCTGTGTATCTACGTTGCCATTAATGCGGGGGATGCGAAGATTTGCGAGTTGGTGCTGGATGGCCGATAAGCAAGAGGCGTAGTAATGTTGCAGCTTGTAAAAAGAGTACGTACTTGTCTGTGCATACGAGGCTGTCGATGCGCTGTGTAGGGTGAATCAGTCGCCCGACTTTGCTAAAAGATGAGAGCTAATGCAAATACAGTGATGGAAAACTGGTGATGGTGGTGGACGTGGGTTTACAGTGAAGAGTCAAATGGGTCGAGGCACCTAACTCGATACGTGAGCAAGAACACATAGAGGCTAAAAAGCTGCGTAGCGTGGTGTAATTAAGTATTCTTTTCCTGTTCGGTGAAGTGAGGGGTTTTAGGCCGAGTAATAAAAACAAGATGTGGGGCTGAATGCCCGTCTACAGCTAGTGGTCAAAGTGGTTGGAGCCAGTAGGTGGTTTCGTGTGTAACACCACATACGATGCTAAGGCGTTGCATCGCGCAAGATGCTTAAGTCGTCCTCAAATATCTAGGGGGAAAAGCTAATGCATGCTATGTAATGACCTGCAAATGGTGGGGCCGGATGCGTGGATTAGGGGTACCGATGATGAAGATGACGAGTTACTCGGTTAGCTACCTTGCCAGATTTTAACGTTAGAATCGATCTGGACCTCGTTCCCATATCTCGTCTTCAGGATGGTCTAGGCCAAAAAATTCTGCAATAGGGATGTAGTCGAGAAATCGACGTAAATTAGTGCGGAATGGGGCATTCGTTGGGATCGATCTGAGTCCTATTGGCAGTCTTTTCCAAGCACAGGCATATCTGTAAAGAAAGAAACTAGAGCGTATTCTCGTGCGAGCTTTCTGTAAGATGATCGAATAGGGTCTGGTCCGTAATGGGTAGCGCTTATCTACATTCTGTCGAGCGGAAAACTAGCTGTTAGCGTTTGAGTTGTGCAGTATCTGGAAGAGGACTACCAGGTTGAGTTTGAACCTCCCGAGCCACAGTGCGTCTAGCTAGAACTGTTTGCATCTACCACGATAATTTAGTGTAGCTGGTTCCAGTAGACGCTTAGTGAATGAACGTTGCGCTCTCTCAGCTGCTATTCTTTCACTTTTCTGCTAGTTAGTTAATACTCAAGGAGCAGCATTCTAGGATAGGTCAGGCGCAGTACTTATACAAAGCAACTTTGGATTCCCTACGCACCATCGACTTACAGATGTAGCCGGCGGCTGGTCTGGCTTTGGCTATGCTGTATCCTGTGTGTTCGGCGAAGTTTAGTGAACGAGAGTAATGTACTCCTAGGTCACGTACTGCAAGTCAGTTGGCAGTTGACAATTGGTGATCTGCTTATTCTCAATGCGATAGGAGATGGCGTTGCACTTAGCTGTTGAGAATTCCATTTTCCAGTGGTCGCACCACCGACCTAACGCAAAAAGATCATTCTGAATATGCGGCATGCCAGTTTCTGTTCCATTCGCATCAAGAGGGAAACAACTTTAATTTCATCAGCAAATAAGAATGGTCTTTACTGGGTGAAGCAATCAAATATGACGTTAAGGTACAGAAGGAATAGTAGTGGGCCAAGAACACCACCTTGAAAGACGCCACTACTGACGGGCCTATATTGTGATTCTGCTCTATTCAGACGTACCATCTGTGTACGGATGTGAACCATGACAGCAGCTGATGGGATATACCGAAGCACGGAAGTTTAGTCAGTAGACTAGCATGCGAGACTCGGTCAAAAACCTTCTTCATGTCAAGGAAGACGATGACAAGTGCATGGCCTGAAGCAATTTCTTTTGTTATAAGATCTAGAAACTCGAAGTGACATGTCTGACAAGACTTGTCCGATAAAAATCCATATTGGGACTTATTACTTAAGTTGCACGACAACAGAAATCCAAGGACTTGCTCTTTTACTATCCTCTCCATCACTCCTGATGGTCCGGCTCTGTCCATTACAAAAATCGTGGAGGCTTTTATGGGCTTTTTGTGTAGCCGGCTAATGTTTTTGACGTGCATTCAACCTGTTTTAATGTCAGTTATTCGTGGACTTCATGCGACAAATTAGCCATTAGATTTTTTCAAAAATGCAAAGCGCAGTTTAAATTCCATTTTGTTGCGTAAGCCGCCAGGAATGTATTCACCACCGAGTCTTCAAAATAGATCCGCCAATGGATAATTCAGCTGCACGTTTACTAGGAGTAGATAAGTAAACCGATATTTGACTTTCCATTGTTTTAATAATTTGGATCACCTGATGTGGTGTCACGTCAACATTCTTTGCACAACAGCTCACATGTCAAGCTAGTAAAGATAGGCGTATTTACGAATACAATAGGGAAGTTAAGGGTGCTACGAGAGCCAAAATGACACAAACGCAGCAAGATAACTGAAGGATTAATTTGTACAGAGATTGCATTGGAAGGGATGAGACTGATACCTCTCTCACCGAATGATACCTCTCTCACCGAATTATAGAGGATGCGGCCCTAGAATTCTAAAACTTGTGGTTCAGTCAGAGCAACAAGCAAAGGATGTTTTGGATCGATGGCGGAGAAATCGGAAAAATCTTCCTTCCGAAATTCGGTTAAAGATCACAAACACTTTGCACAGCTCAAATATTAAAGCAACTGAAGCAGCAAGCATACCGACGAATGTACAAAAGCGTAACTTGAATGCTGCTTTAATTGAC